ATCGCTTTTATAATATACTCGTTTACCGCTTTTGTTGTGGGCACAAAGTCTTAAAATACACACAAATATCGTTATAAATCGCAAAAAGCAACAAGAAACAAGCCGTTAAAGTCCACACAATAGCATCTGAATTTGGATTGTCAAGCAGTTTTCACTTGTTTTCCCGCGTTTTGTTCCCGTATCCTAGGATATGAGGCCTCGTCACGATTTATGAATAAGGTCTATGTGTAAAACAAAATTCCAGACAATCGCGCGACACTACAATATCGTGACAATACAATCGCGTCGGCTGTCGGGCAAACAACGAATAACTTTAAATAATGCTACAACCCCCACAGACAGAAAACCGGACCGGATGGCAGAAACTCAGAAAAAATTTGACTAACGTACGAAAATTCCTAGATCCGCCCCTGTTCTGTGACTGGTTGATTATGACAATGACAAAAGACATAATTGGCTTACATCAATAAAAGGAACATTCTTCTTACTGCGAATAGTTGTCGTGTTAGTTTTAACAGTTGTACGATGACGTTTCTAGGCAGATTTTCTACGTTTCTAAGGCGTGGCTTCAACGTTTATTTTTAAAATTTGAACGTTGTAATTACAAGGTAATTGCTAAATAATATACTTCAAAATAAGGTTTCGTTTTTATATCAATTTTTTAAATAAGTTAAGGTTAGATAAGGGTTTAGTTTTGCGTTAGGATGATTTTTTCTACGTTATAAAAACGAAAACCTTATTTTGAAGTGTATTATTTAGCAATTACCTTGTAATTACAATGTTCAAATTTTAAAAATAAACGTTGAAGCCACGCCTTAGAAACGTCGAAAATCTGCCTAAAAACGTCATCGTACAACTGTTAAAACTAACACGACAACTATTCGCATTAAACGGTCTACTGAATCCGCAGTAAGGTGTAAAAAAACAACCTGTGGTTCTGGTTTCATATCGTGAAAAAAATTAGGTTGGTAGGTCGGAAATTTTTTTTTTTTAATATTTTTTTCATGGTTTTGGCGGGGTTTTTTTGCTGGGCGATTTGCAGTAGAGTCCCAACATCAATATTAACTAGAGATGCATATTTCCTATCGACAAATTTAGGCAATTTGGCTCAATAAATAGTGTGACAACAGACGCCATTTTGGCACGCTGTATGAGCGGCCCACAACCACCTGGAGAAAATAGGGTCGCACGGTCAATCGCGTTGAAAAAATAATAGGGTCGGCAGAAAAAAAATAGGGTTGGTCGGGAACCAGAACCACAGGTATTTTTTTATGCCTAATGCTCAATCTTTCTTTAGAAAATCCATTCTGTAGCTTATTCTTTTGTCATTGTCATAATCAACCAATCACAGAACATCTTCCTAGAGCTTCGTGCCGACCCCATATATTCCATCAGCCTTAACAAAGACAGAAAAAGTTTTGTTACCATGGGATTCCTCCACGCCTTCGATCAATCCAGTGTGATCCCAATCAGGTCCAGTGTTTCTGGAAGGTGTACCTTCGGAAGTTCGTGCCCATTCAAAGTCATCAAAAGACGACTGTCGCCATCCACATGTGTTGTCTGTAAGTCACAGTCGTAAGGACCTAAAATTATTAAGAGCTATCTATTACAAGAGGATATTGACCACATAATAAATACCAGGAATGGAAATATCGTTCTTTTACTGCAAATTCATATTTATCCCCGTTACCTCCCTGCAAATGCATGTTAGCCCCCAAGAAAACATGCATTTTCCATGGAAATTTGATTTTTTTTATACCCTGCCCATAGAAATTAAGTAGGATTATATAAATCAATGATTATAGACAGTATTATACACCTCCCCCGAATTTAATATCGCTATTTCCAAACACCGGTTGATAAAATTTGTTTAAAAAACCATTTACAACTATTCAAAGAAATGTACTTAAGTTTTGTAAAAACTTTCATGTACCTAACTATTTAAGAAGCGTCCGAAATTCTGCCATGAAAATTCGCATTTTTTCCACGAGGTCTGCATCAAAAGGCCGCCATTTTCTTGGACGGCAGTAGCATGGCAGTATCCTGAGATATCCATTGGTATCCTATTACAATATTCGAGGGAATAGCCTGGGAACGAGGGTTAGCACTATTTTCCATCCAGCAAACTGACCTGACGTCATTTTCGCAAGATAGAAGAGGTGTTATGGTGTTAAATGGCTATGTAACTAACCCAAACCCTACCCCTACTCTAACCCCTAACCCTAACCTGAGTAGGGCACAGGCACGCCTAATCGCGGGCAAAGGGGAGAAAAGTACGGCCTGACACAAAAGCGGCATTTTGCCTGGTTATTTAGTCCAGAATCTGGACTGAGCGCTGATTGGCCGATTAGACAAATGATTTTTTAAATCTGTCATAGCAGCCACAGATTTTTTAGATACTTTTCGAAAATTTCTGTTTTTGTTATCAGCAGTGGCGGACACTAAGAGGGGGGGGGGACTGCCCCCCAGTCTGATACCAGCAAGTGGCAAGCATGCAATCACACCCAATCACCCATATAATGTAATTGTCATATTAAATGATGACTGTTAAATAAAACTTAAGCTAAAGTTAGCCGAATAGAGCAAGCAATATATGATCTGTACAATACATGCCAATAATGCCACAACATGCGCATTTTATACAATCTGTTTTGTTCTGTGTAGAATTCCTTATATAGGCAGCTCTTCTGATTTATAACTGTACATTAAACAACAACGCTGATCAAACATGCTTAAGTATCTTATAAAAAGTATCTAATTTCAATTATTTATTCATTAAATTTAAAAAACAAACAAGTTAGTTACACACTACACTATTAACCCGCAAGTAGTTAAAACTAATCTAGGCGGGTTTGTGTCAATTACGAATATACGCTACTAATTATGATAGAAAAAAATTAATGAATTTAAATATAGTAATGAACAAAAATTCTAATTGTTTGATTGTTACACAAAATAGAGATAAAAGGACAAGGAAAATATTTTTATTAACTAATATGTTTTATCTTTTTTATTATCGTAGTGACATCAACATAAACATCGTCGCTCTCCAAGACCTGGAGAAGTATTGTATTTATTCTAGTAATTCGAAGGTCGCGGGTTCAAGACCCAGCGCGGCAGACTTTATCTTTCTGCTTACGCTGGGTATGGAAATTATATAATACACACTCAAGAACATTTTCATCTTATAAAACGACCTAACCTACTCATATTGACCAACTGTCAATTCATGATATGTCATAATAGAAAACGCATTATTGATTGGTCGACCACCACGACCACCAAATAGCATGATTCAGCCAATAGCGTACGACCTTTCGAACAGTGCGTTCTAACAGCTTTGATTAAGATTTTCTTGAAATACTATAAAAGTTGCTGTAGAGCTAGTCGTTTCACTAACTAAAATTGGCAAAAGATAAATTTTTACAATTACTGGACCGATGGCGCAGGCGACAGTAGACAAACAACAATGGTTTGGTTTTCTTATTATTAAATTATACAAACACGAAATTTGCATAAAATATGTATATATATAATCTGAAGCTATAAGATTATTAAGATATAAAAGAAAAGAGAAAGAAAATTACGACTATGTTTACAAATATAAATACAATACATTACGTTACAATTACACTGTTTTTAACTTACATTTGTCCAAACCACTGATAAACTTTAAAACCATAAACCTAACTTGACTTTTCCCGGTTCAAAACATTAATTTTTAGCGTTTCTTTAGACTACAGTTTTATACATACTTTTAACGTTCAACATGGCTTCCTTTTCGCGCGCTTTTTCTCAGTTCATCGCGGGCGACAATAAATATTCTACGTACGTCATGTTATTTTAGTCAAATCAACGTCCCTTATCTCTTCTGTGTCAACGTAACCACAGAATAGATAATAGGACCAGAAGTCTCACTCAAGTATGGATTTGACTTTGGCCTAGTACGCATCAGATTGGTTAATTAGATGTATCAAACGCATCTGATTGGTTAATAGATTTATTTGAAGTCGAAGTGTGGTTTCTGCATTTTGGCGCCAAATCACAGGCTCGCCCAGTGCTCTCACTTTTAAGGAATTATCCTTAAAAATAGGAATTTTGAAGAGTTTTAAGGATTTTTTTAAGGAATTTAGGTTTTTGAGGATTTTTTTAAGGAATTTCCAAAACATTTTATCCTGGACTAAAAACGTTTTGACGGAGAATAACCACGCCACGCAAATGAGATTTAAACTTGAAAGTAGCAACATTATATGCACATAATTACATATATTCGTATGTTCTCTATGTCGTAAATGTACATATGGCTGTCTTTCCATTAAAATTCTCAAAAGTTAAATGTCAGTGTATGCTGTTTCTTCTGAAATCTACAGATTTTCTAAGTTCTCAGGGCCCTAGCGACCGGGGGAGGGGGGAGGGAGGGTGCAACACCCCTAATATTGCTCATGAACAATTTCAGGTAGATATCCTGTAGATTTTCAGGTAAATTCAGGTAATTCTCAGGGCATAAAAAAGTGAACTCTCTAATCTGAATTGGAGTTAACAATCAAACAAACTAAAGACGTTGAGACGTGTTGTGGCAGGGAGACAATTGCGAAATACCCTTTCTGACGATCTGGAGACTCCAAATTTCCAAAATTTTCTCAATTTCCCATTATAAACTGAAAGTAGCAATACTTATCTTCATTGTTAGGCAATACTAAAATATTGGGTAGGAAAGACTCTAAAAATGCCATTTCCGACGGTCTAGAAACTTCAAATTTTCAAAAAATACGGTTTTAAAGAACGTTCAGTTCGAAAAATTCAGGTAAATCAGGTGAAAAAAACACTTTTTGCAACTCTGTGATCAGGCCTTGTAGTAATTTTACCAATTTAAGGAATTTTAAGGAAATCTGAGGAATTTTCGAGCTTTTTCTAAGGAATTCGAAAATTTGATTGTGAGAGCACTGGGCTCGCCGCTCGCAGACCAAATACTGCAACAGCAACCATAGATTAAAATAAAGATGGATAAAGAAAATGTTCCAAGTAATGTTGCAATTACAGGTAATTCGTCAGATTCTGATATATCTGACCAAGTGTTACTTGAACTTTCCCGAGGAGAGATGAACAAACTCGTAAAGGGGAGAAGTGACGGAGACGATTTAAGGAAGCGACGTACAGCACTGAAGAGAAAACTATCGAGCATCAGAACCAGATCTGAGCAAAGAGAAGCTATGGAACTTAAGAGGCGACTAGATGAGAAAACAAAAAGGACCGCTACCTTGAAACCCACAGATCCGATTAAAGTCTCTGTGAAGCATAGGGAGAAGTTTGAACGGCTTTTAGAACTGTGGGAATGTGATCTTGGATCGATAACAGAAATAAATGATAAATATGGCGTATGTTTCAAAGAAGAGTTCGCAATAGGCAGGGGCAGTTATGGCACAGAGGTGTATATTTGCTTGGGCTCTGACGGAGTAGAACGAGCAATAAAACGTTTGCCAAAACATCTGTGTAAGAAATTTTTGAAGAATGAACGAGATATCTTGAATTCTCCGAATGCAGTTGAGTCGCCACGAATTGTAAATTATTGTTTCTATGATACTTCCAACGATGATTTCGGTTATTTGATTCTGAGCTTATACGAACAGAATCTTGAAGAATTTATCAAGGAGGAAGGCGAAAGGATGACAAACTCGCGTGCTAGAAAGATGATACATCAAGTGTTAGAAGGGTTGAAAGCATTACACGCTAGAGAGCCAAGAATTCTGCACAGAGATTTGAAGCCAACTAATATACTTGTTGATGTGTATGGTAATTTACTGCTGTCTGATTTTGGTATTGGACGCTTTTTCCCAAAACAAGGTATTTTCACAAGATATATATTTAATATATATATTAAATATGTTCATCGTAAATGTAAAGTATGACTAATGCATGTGTCATCGGCTTCCCTGAGGGGG